GCATTTCCAGGAACGCTGCTCTGCCCCAGCCTTACCTCGAAGACCGAGTGGTCTTAGTGACCAGTCCCAGTCCGGGCAAAGCCCTTCACACGCTCTGAGGTATACGCAAGTCCGCTGCGCCCGGCTGGCCGACCTCTTCTTCGCAGGAGAGCCCCGCACTCAGTGGTTTCTGAGGCTTTTCCCCGCAGCTGCACGCCTACAAATGGCCATCGTTTCGTTGGCTCGAGAGGTGAGATAGTGTCGGGATAACGGCTCCTCTTAGTGTGTACCCGAATGAAGACCTGTGAGCGTATTACTGCTGGAAAAAAGCCGCGAGGGAGGCATAGATACTCTCGGCCTGTAGGCGAAAAGGACCTACATATCCTCACATAGTCATAGACCCATTAGGACAATAAACACTCACTCATCCGAATATGATATTGTGTGTTATTCACGAGTAAATAATGTTACATAATCCTCTCGGTAATTGAGAGTTCTGATCGGAGAGATGTGAAGAACAACAACCATAAAAATCCAGATACATCTTTACGTATGCGTACACGTGAATACAGCCAACCAAGATTGAAGGCAAAAGAGTTATTACACATGTACCTGTATGACCGGTCATGTGTCATAGCTAGAAAGCTGAATACATATTATAACGATATAAAAGAGGATCCATGTTTCTGTCCCGCAATCTACAATCCGCTTCAGTCACACCAACAGATCATCCCCTACGCCATCTACTGCCTAATTGACCGAAACAGACGTAGTCGATCTCTTTTTAAAGTGTTATTCGCACTACCCATAACCTTAGTTGTAGCGCCTGCAAATACCTTGAAGTCAAATTAGATATGTTGTTTTGTTAAAATAAAGGAGCAATGCACATTGTGGCCTGGGCTAGGGAGGAGTCCAATGGGTTAGATTATCAAAGACTCTAGTTTAACGATAAACACACACTTTGAAGTCGACAATAGTCTGACCTCGCAGACACATCGATATCCCAAACCCTCATATACTTTAACGCCCTAGTAACGCGTCTTCCCTCTATTAGCAAAGCTCCATTAGAGAAGTGATCTTTCGCAAATGAAAACCCGAGCTCTGAAGATTTCGACACATTTTCCCCCAAGCAGGTTTATTTTTCAGTGTCTTGTCGAGCTAGGAAATTGGCACTCCGCACCCCCTCAGGAACTTGGGCATGGGTGGGATTAGGCTAGATCTGGCCAAGTACATTCATGTACATAAGCTTCGTCCCGCTTGAATGACCGTAACATCTCAGACTTCACCCATGCCTTGAATATGACATGTCCAACCGTCCGGAGAGTCCGATTTTGTCGTGCCGCAACGCAAATTTATCTTCATACTCGTCCACAAGGCGCCCAAATCCTTGATACATTCCTGTTCTTGTAATTTTCCCTTCCGTCTGGTCCCTACTTCGACTCGTCACAGCATCTCCTCATATTATCCAGAGGTTGGCTTACTCATTGAATGTCACATCCAGTGTTCCGCCGAGGCGTCGGGGTTTTTCCTCTTTTGTTAAGTCATTAGAGGCTTTCTTAATCCTTTTTTAAGTACCGCGATATCAAACTTTGTAGACTTTCCATTCCTCGAGCCTTGCCCCGTCTCGGCCATACCTTAAGTACGAAGGCTGAATATACATGCAAGGGCCCGAAAGCCAGGTACTAACAGCCCAATTTTTTCTAAATATTCTGGTTGATATATCGGCGAAATGTCGGAAGTAATTAGCTAGTAGCGCTTCGTCGTAGTTCGATTTTTGGATCTATTGACCAAGGTATAGTCGTATTCGAATCCGGTACTTCGATCGTAGTTTGATAGCAAATATCAGTTGCAGATAGACGGATAGTCTTTTGTTTACTGCGTGGTTGTTTGGATGATTTGAATATGGATTGCTACAGTAGATTTTGAGATGAATATGGAGAGATGTGAATATAGCTAAAAAGTATTTTTCGGAAAAGCTAGGGTGCTTAAGAATTTAAAATGCTGTGCTGTGAGACATGGACAGTCGTGAGACAGTCAGTGGTTCGTATATGGGTGAAAGTGATTAATTTTGTAAGGTTGTGAAGTCGTAAGATCTCTGCCGGTAGGCTTTAGTATCGAGCTTGGCCACATCACTACTCCCAACGCCGTCACGACGAAAACTCTCGCATGCATCCTATGTCGGGACGGCATCTAGGCGGTTTCTTAGCACTCAGCCCTGTCTTCATCTTCGAAAACATTGATAGGTGTCCAGCCTTCGTCCTCGTATCCTTTGTAGATCGCATAAGCAACACTTTACGTTAGTAGGGCAAGACTGAACACCTGTACGCCGTGTCCTCTACGAACCTGGGAGTGAAATATTCTCCCAGAGCCAAGTTCAGTCAAAATTCGCATTATCAAAAAGTTGGCCCACGAGGCAATGATTCAAATTACTCTACCACGTCGTTTTTTCGCTCCCAACGAATTTGACACCGACCTAAGTCTTATAAATTCTGCAAGTACGGCCAAGTACATCCTCATACCAATGACCACACCATTCTTCGATCTTCTCTGGCCTCAGTTGACCACCAAATTCATGCCCACGCCGATATTTATACTCGACGGAGGAAACAAAGCGTGGCGCACAGATCTGGGAAACAGCTTTTCGGGACGGACATGAGAGTGAACAGGACAAGTTTACAAGATGATGCGAAGGAAGGATATTACCTCGCATGGAGTGAAAATTCAACATTTGGCAAGTAGTTTTACGAATCGACCTATGTGCGCGCCAAGACTTCGCTTGCGAGAGTGCAGCTGGCACTATAAAAACAAGCCGACGATTGAAGGTGTTGTGGTGTGCCTCCAGGTGGTGTTTTCTGGTATGGTTTGAGTAGCCTGAGCACCTACTCCACTTGGAAAAGAGACACCTCAAATCAAATTTCGCGTGGAGAAAAGTTGAAAGATGATGGAGGCATGTCTGGATAACTCAGGGTTTTTGAGACGTTCCCCTGAGTGGGTATTCACGGATGAGGGTTGACTTGGGGTGAAGAAAAAGCCGCCATAACTTCGCAGTGGTATTCGCAAATAAAATCCGAGGCATTAGTGCTCTTCTTGTAAATCGAGTCACAGCTAGATAGATGCATACGCAATTAATATCTGATGCAAAAAAAACACTTTACATTAGTTAATCGACCCGCAATCTCAGTACAAATCAAAAGGCTTGCATGGGTCGATGGCGCAGTGATATGTAATCGAGAGCTATCAGCAATAGACAGATAAATTAGTCCAAGTATCCATCATATTCAAAAATGAGTTATCATGTACATCTCAGCAAAAATAGAGGTCTTTCGGGTGAAATATGTATCAATTATTTCCATAATAAAGGGAGATACTAAACTGACTTTCCGTGATTCTGATCAAAAATTACAGCAATGATTTACGCGTATTATTTTTAACATGTAACAGCTGTTTACATGTTTAATCTCTTATAGGGCCCAAAACTCTTTCGGGAGATTTATGTTATTTCAACTTAGATGCCGAAAATATCTGTCTCGGATAGTGTACTCACCCCTATATCCCTTTCAAATATTCTTCCCAGCAGTAATACATCAACAGCTCTTCACCTACGACACACTCGAAGGGCCGATGTTACGTCAATATCTCCCCTCTCCAGTCAACGAAGCGATGGCCATTTGCGGGTGTAACAGAGGGGTGAAGACTCAAAAACTGTTGAGCATGGAGTGTGGAGCTCTCTAACGTTATACATCAAGATTAGATTCAAATACGTGGCTACTTTCCTAAAGAGTTCGAAGAGGCCGGCCAGCTGGGCGCCATGGACTTGAATTTTTGTTTGCATTAGATTTTAATTGCGTATGCAGCTATCTAGCTATGGCACAATATCAAAGAAAACTACATAATATATGACTCAATATAAAGAATGAGCACTCATGCCTTGGATTTCATTTGCAAGTACCACTGCGAAGTTATGGCGGTTTTTTCTTCACCACATGTCAGCCCTCATCCGTGAATAACCTGTAGACTTGTGTGTACTTAAGGAAATTCACACTCTGACTTTCTAGCCTCCCTCCGAAAATTTCCTGGAGGTCGTGCTGAAATTTCAGAATATTCTTGACAGAGTGTTGTTGCTGTAAGGTAGCTTAACCTGGCATCCAAAAGTAATTACGGATATGGGGTTGTCGGGTGACTTATGTATTTTAGATACCCGCCTAGCCAATGAATTCGGAAATTAGGAGTTGAAGCGACTATGTTACCGGCAAGTCAAACTCTGCTTTACTCGAGGCCGGGAGAGTGACTAACTTTGTATCATAGGCTTTTATTATCCCGCAATTGGTGGCACATGTAAAAATTGACTCGACTTCAAATCGGACTGGAGTGACCCAGTTTCGGCCATTTAGAATGTATGGTGGAAGCTGGATGTTTGCAGGGAACACAGCTGGAAGAAGTCAAGTTAAATACGTCCATTCAGCTACTAATACAAATCACACAACGGGACAAGGACTATCCATGGTACGTGACGGCACAAAATGACATTTAGCGCACAGGTCACGGGCTTGACATACAATGCTCTCCCGAACCTGCATTTACGCACTTAAGCAAGTACAACATCGTTCATGACTAGTTCAATTCTATCACTAGACGTTATACATACAATCAAACAGGTACAGCATCTTCTTGGCCTAACCGCCTTAACCTATACCACGTGACAAGAAGCACTAAGATTTAATCAGATTCTGCAATTACAAAGGGGTTGCGGGAGGTTACTTAACTAGCGTCTGAAAGAAGCCAAACGCGCAACAAGGATATATATAGCCTGAAAATGGAGATACCGCTTGGACAAGTATAAATCCACTTCATGTTCCTTCACTATTCGTCATCGCTGCCAAGTAAGGAAGCTTTAGATTCTAGGATCCGAGCTCCAGGCTAAATCTTAAAATGCAACCACACCATTAACCTTCTGAGCTTGCAGCATTTGTATCTGATATCTTAACATTATCACGTTCTTTAAAATACCAAGTTTCTGGCGCATGTTCATTCTCTATCCTCGCCCAAGCGGACAAAGGGGATTATTAGAAAAAACCAAAACATACGAGGCCTACTCAAGCAACGCATCCACGCGATCTTTCAAGCTACCAACCATGCATTACAGTCACGGAACACTGACGCGTTTTCTTATGTACTTGATATTTATTTCTTTAGTGCTCAAAAACAATGCTGAATCTACGCCGCACAACCAAACTTCTGACTTCAAAGAGCAAAATTCCGAGCCTGACACTACCGATACTTGGGACTCTCTAGTCAAAGCGTTAGATGTACTACAAAGTAATTACTTCGAAAACTGGCCTGGCGTTTGGCCAACTGCGATTGACTGGACCTCTGCAGTCACGGGAACTTTAATATTTGGGGCTCTGACGACCTTTTCTACATCTCAGCCAAAGTCTATTTCAACGACTGCTGTTGAAAACTTGATAAACCGACGCTTTTCCCAGTTGACTGCGTCTTTCTTTGGTCAAAACACTTTAGCTCTGCGGATGCAAGCGAATGATGACATGTTGTGGACCGTTCTTGAGTGGTTAGAGGGTATAAAGTTTATAGATGAGCACTCTTCACATTACTCATCTGAAATAGTGGGCGATAGCTGGTATGCTCAACAATGGATCCCAACATTTGCACATAGAGCGCGCATATTTTGGGACCAGGCGTCTCAGGGCTGGGACACTACACTTTGCGACGGTGGTATGACTTGGAATCCAAGATTAACTCCCTACAAGAATGCTATTACTAACGAACTCTACATCTCCGCGTCAGTTGGAATGTATTTGTATTTTCCAGGCGATAATGATGTTTCTCCATTTAGTGTATCTGAGTCTAATGTTTCCGTATCAGACCTCCCCAACAAAACACGCGATCCCAAGTTTCTAGCCGCAGCACAGGATGCCTACCACTGGCTGGTTAATAGCAATATGACAGATTCTAACGGACTTTTTGTAGATGGTTTCCACATCTCCGGCTGGAAATCTAACCAGACAGTGAATAAAAGATGTGATGATCGAAATGAGATGGTTTATACCTACAATCAGGGCGTACTACTTTCTGGTCTCTCAGGACTTTACCAGGCGACCGGTGATCGCTCTTACCTTGATGATGGCCACAAATTAGTCAGGAATGTAATTGCCGCGACAGGCTGGGATCTTGAAAATTCTAAACCTCGCGAAGATGCTCCGGAAAATATAGATGAACCAGGATCTAGAATTTGGTATGGACTTGGTCAACTTGGCATTTTAGAAGAAGCCTGTGATTTTTCCTCAGCTTGTTCCCAAGATGGACAAACATTCAAGGGAATTTTCTTTCATCACTTGACAATATTTTGTTCACCACTACAAAATCCTCTCCAAGTGCCAGAAGAAGATTCTCATGAAAGCCCAGACAAAATCTCTCAGTGGCATAGTGAAAACTGCGACAACTATGGCTCCTGGATTAAGCTCAATGCTATGGCAGCCCTAGGTACTGTCAATGCTAAGGGTAAATTTGGAGCGTGGTGGGGTGCTTCAGCTAATACAACGTTATCATCAACAGCGAATGCCGTCCCACTACCGGCTATGGCAATTGATTATCAAAACAATGGTATTCCAACGGAGTGGAATTTGGATCAGCCCGATAAAAATCGGCCTAAGAAGGAGGTTGATACACTTAGGCATCCGAGTAATTCGGAAAGCTCAGATCTTAACGATAGAGGAAGAGGTCGTACGATTGAGACCCAAACTGGAGGCCTGAGTGTTCTTAGAGCATCGTGGGAGCTAGTTGATTATCCCGGTATACTGGCAAGTCGCGTTGCCAAAAGGTCTAACCATGCTGTAAGTATGTCAAGTAGCCATAAACCCAACGATACTAAGATAACTAGAAACTACATATTCGACGTACTTCCCACTCACAGCGCGACCCGTTGTGCCCAATCAGCTCTAGAAAATTTCATGCCCTACGACATTTCTAGTTTGAGCGCATGTAGCTTTATATGTAGTAGTACATTCTGCTCTTAGCAAAAACAAAACGCACTTAGTCAAACAAAAGTCCATCAATTTGAGTTTCAACCGTGGATAGAAAATGATTTAAGGATCTCTCTGGATTTTTGACGGCTCATAATATTCTCTTTTACCTTTATGTTAAATAAGTAACAACAGGTGTATTCCATATCAACATGATGATGCTAAAAGTGGACACCTTCACCATCTTTCAGTTCAACACGATAACGATATCCTATTTTGACAGAGGTCATGGGTGCTTAGTCTGCATTTAGCACTGTATATTTATTCATGTGATCCATAGTCCTTGGTTACACTATCATATTTGATGAAAATTGGTGGTTAAATGATAATCCTAGACTTAAGACCTATTCCATGAGTATTATTATGATGATGTGAATTCTTTCACAAATAATCCGATATAATAATTTACACCAAATATCCTCCATTCTATATAATTATTGCAGCAGGCTTCATTATGTACTAGGCGTCTACAGACAGAGACGAAAACTTGCAAACTGTTCATCTGTGTCGATCCTCGTACGAACCTTATTCCTAAGTTGCGAGGTAAGCGCTAGCATCTCTACGGAAGAACCGTAGCAAAATTAAATCATCTATAGAAGTTTTTAAAGTCGACAGGAAAACATGAATCAGGAAAAATATGACACAATGTGTTGAAAAGAAGCACCCTAAAATGTAATTATCACCGGCAGAGTGTTAATGTGCAAGGGAAGCATGAAGGTAGGTTCAGTAGAGTTTCTTAAGCTAGCCCTAGAATCCGACGGGAGTAAGTCTTCTACAAGTACCAGACACAATCTCGCTCCGACAGGATCAGCATAGCTAGCCTGGTACAGCATCTACAGTGCCTCTGGGATATGAAATGTTAACCTCGAAGCTGGGATGTTTAAGGGATTAGCCCTATAGGCGGAGTTGGGCTAGCTCGTAATAGGTTAGACTATCTCTCCTCATTACCCCGGTCGCCATGAAGTATGGTCCAATCGTCTTTTTCTGACATTCTGTCAGAGAAACACATTTTCAACGACACTTGACTGCCTAACCTACACAGTCCTTGAATCCATCCGCTTCGACTTCGAGCCACGGAAAGCACAGACAGCGCTCGTCACCGACTCGGCCTAAAGACATGCAACAAAACCAGACTTGGTTTCGACAGAGTGCATGATTCAAGGGTCCAGAGGATGTATCGACTCCTGCCAGAGGCCGAACTACCTCCACCGCTCCGACCTCCGGCCCTCCCTCAGCCAATTCCCCGCTGGACAAGCAAGAAAGAAGCAGCTAGGTTTATAAGAGAGTGGCTACCTACTCTCCCACCCGAATGTCTTTGCGTGTACAGTGATAGCTCTGGGGCGTCCACCGACAAAGTGTCATGGGCCTTTGTGACTTTTATCAGTGGCATAGGCAGGGTAATTGAGCAAAGCGACTCAGGCAAAATGACCAATGCGGAGGTCTATGACGCGGAGGCTCATGGAGCTTTGGCTGCTATAGAAGCAATTACTGCCAGCAATCGAGATCGAGGACGCAGCGCTATCCACATCCTTCTCGACAATTCTGCGGCTGTCCAGGCTTTACTGACGGGAACAACGGGCTCCTCATCCTGGCGTATCCAAAAGTTCGTGAAACTGGCCGCGGGATCAGCCGCACCTGTAAAAATAGGATGGATTCCGGGCCATGAAGGGCTGGTAGGAAATGAAATGGTTGATGAGCTCGCTCGAAGAGAGCTTAACTCGTCGGACGATACGAGGACGACACATGGGGTGATGACCCTCGCCTCTTCCGGAAGGAAAGCTCGCGAACTGGCCAGGCAGATGGTTACCGACTGGTGGCATTCGAATCGCCCCAGACATTATGCCGACCTCGAACTCGAGATGCGACGCAAGAAACCGCCAGAACTAGTACTACCAAGGGCAGTCTACGCTCGCTTAATAGCCGCTCGAACCGGACATGGAGACTTCGCGGCTTATCATCGCCGCTTCAACCACACTGACGCTACACTTCACTGCGAGTGTGGGAGGGAAAAATCAATCGGTCACCTTGTTCAGTGTCGAAAAGCACTGGCAACATGGCGGCTGAAAAGCGGAAAGCGAAGGGCGCCAGCTATAGAAACAATGCTCGGATCAAGCGGGTGGCAACTGTTCAGGGACTACGTCCAGGAGAGCGGAATATACGCGGAGGCTAGCCGGGGGATGGCAGGGATACCTGTGACTCGGAGGTGATGAACGAAAGCCTAGGTGATCTGGCATGGAAGTAGTAATAGGAATCGAGGCTCGGGCGCGTGGTGGCCGAGGCGGAACGATGGAAGGGAGATTGTCAAAGTTTTTCTTTTGTAATGCAGGACTTTGCGTGGAAGTTTTCTTTTGTTTTGTTTTCAACTCTGGGCTGCTGTACTCGTCATGCTTCAACACATAGATGCGTTTCGGCATGGTTCCGGTCATTGAGGTGGGACGAGGCATTTGTACTGCACGGTAGTTAACCTGATCCGGCCCGACTCCACTCGTGCTCAAGCTCCAGTAGGAGTGCGACGGTAGTTACTTCACCTAGCACGTTAATGAAAAAACAAACAAACAAACTCACAATTTTTGAGAGAATTCGAATTTTCGAATCTTCACCCTTTCCTCATATCCATCCCTCTCGCGCTCGTTGCATTCCTTCCGTAAATTGTCATCGAGTCGCTGGCATCTTAACCATGCCACCTGTTCGTAGAAAGCGTCCCAACGCCAAGTTGGACAACACGCGAGTCCGTCCGGGTGCTCTCGAAAAATTACCTGACCTTGCCCAGTCTCCAAAATGCGCGGAGATGAGCAAGGTCTCAACTGAAGGGAAGGAAAAAGCCCTCCCCGCCGTCACTGAGCCCGATACTGACATGATCGGGTCAGTCGAAATTGTTGAGGAATTTCCTCAACGAGCCTCCGTCCCCCACGGGATTGGAGAATCGTCAAAATGTCCTCCGACAGCGTCAAAACCGTCGGAAAACGCTGCAGTCATAGCAGCGCCAAAATCAATGTCGCAGCCAAAAGCTGCCACAAAAGCAGAGTGTCCCCTAGAGCTTCGACCAATTGTCGAAGCTGAACAACGACGCGCCGCCGAAACAGCGGCAAATCTGGCCCTCTGTTCCGCCGCCATCTCTGGCGTCGAAGCCACCCTCCTCCCTTTGACCAACGGGTCAAATAGACAATTCGTAGTCTCGATGAGAGTCTACTTACGCGCCGCCATTGCGCAATATATGGCCACGGGCCCGGCCATCACGCCACCCGTCCTCCCTCCTCGCCCTGCGAACCCGACCCCAAGGACTCCAGAAGCCAGGAGCAATACAACTCCCGCCGTCCCAGTGCTGCCTGTAAAAAGCACCTGGGCCACGGTGGCCAAAAATGGACTGCGACAAAATGCAGCTCCTATAGCAAAGGCTGTGCCGCGACCTGCGGCGAGAGCCCAAAAGAAAGAAGCTCCCAAGGCGAAAGTCGATAAGCGACTGTTCCTTCGCCTGGAAAAGGAGCACCCATGGCGGAATCTCTCAAATAATATTGTGAAAAGTAAGGTAGCGGACACGCTTAATCTCTCTTACAATGATATAACCTCGATTCATCAAGTAAAGACCGGCTTTGCTATTATAGCAAAGCACGAAAAAAATACTACATGAGATCCTAGATGTCTCTCCGAAGCTGGCAAGTGAAAGCGCCAAACTCGAAGCATCTTCGGATCTTGTCGCCTTACAGATACCGAACGGACCTGTAAGTATCGTTTCACAGTACGGCCCCGTAGCGACCGATGCTGCAAGTGTCACCGCTGAGATCTTCCTTACGACCAGCGCGTATCCAATCCGGGTCCGACCTCATGGGACATGTCGGCCTGGATCGCCTTATCGAAACTGGCATGCCCTTTTTCACCGGAACGAAGCCCCTCGTGCGGGCTTCCGCCTTTTCGACGATTCGGGTATGGCTACCATCCATAAGCCTCGTCGATCAATTGAACAGTGCAAACGCTGTTTGGGCTTCCACGCCACTCGTGGTTGCTCCCGCGCTCCGGCTTGCTGGAACTGCGGATCAAATATGCACTCCGAAACAGAGTGCAAGGCCCTCACACGCTGTCGCAACTGTGGGGGACCTCACCGATCGGATTCTCGGGCCTGCCAAGTCAGACCAAAAAAATCCGGACCGGTGACCAAAGAGCAGCTCCTGTGGATTCGCCAGATCGAACAATGGGAGTTCGCGAAGGTGGCACGAGCCAGGGCTGCAGCAAAAAAAGGCCGAAGAGGCGATCATCGCCGCGGCGAAGGATGTCTCGATGGCCGAGGCAACACGTTTCGGAGCTCTGGGATCTGAAGAAAAAGTTTGAGGACACAGCAACCTCGATGATGCCCCCTTTTGGGGCATCTACTAATCAATAGCAGGATACCGGCTGGATAAAAGGTGCCTGCTAACTCATCTCTTGCTCTCAGCGGAGATTGAACAAATTTTGTCATTTGGAAGGTGTGACGGACGAGGGAATGTGTGAGAAGCGCATTTACTGGGTCCAATATGGAGGAATCTTCTGGTTTTCGGAGTTGTTTTGATTTTTGTGATTTTTCGTTCTTGTTCAATCAGCTGCACTTTTGGTAGCGATTCACGAGGTTGGAACGAGTTAGGCTATGGGAAAAGTTACAGGGAACACTGCCAGCTCCACCGGTTCTTGACCCAATGTGGAAAACATAGCTTTAGCTTAGGACCGAATGTATAAAAAAAAAAAGTCCTTGAATCTTAACACCACTATCAATTCATCCTCTATTCTAGCAAACAATGTCTCTCGAAAAGTCTGCTTCAGAAACTAAAGTTCGCAAGCATCTAACTCGCGATTAATGTATTGAGATAAGAACATAAAGAAGACTTGGCTTGACGCTACAACATATATCCGACGAACTTTGCTTCACAAGAAGGCAAGTGCAACTTGCGTGTGCTCGAGAGACTGAGAATCCTACACTTCG